ATAATAATAAGCATAACTACTTATTCATTTTAGGTAAAATATCAGTTAAGGGTCCTTAAATTCTAAATTTTTACTGCAGTCTATTAGTCTTTAAGTCAAATGATTGAATTGCTTCTGATTTTTTTTTTTTAAGTCAGCCCATTATTATTGACGCTGTTGTAAAATTAATTTTAAATGAGTTGTTATAATTTAAATAGATATTTGTTGTTGATTATTGAAAGTACGGATCTAATGGTACAAGTTTATAAACAACAAATATTCATATGAGTTTTTACAACAATACATTTAAAATTAACATTAATCCATTCAACATTTAACAAATTAAAAAAATGAATAAGATGAGTTTCATTGTATTAAGTGTTAGTCTTTTATTAACAAGTATCTATTCAAATTAAATAATATATTCAAAATTAATAACAACTCATTTGGGGTCTGACAAGTTAAAAAAAATTAATAAGATGTGCTTAATTGTATAAGTTTTAGTCTTTTATTAATAAGTATCAATTTAAGCCTTAATATATTAGAAAAATGATTAAAATATGCTTAATTGTACAAGTATTAGTCCTTTATTAATAAGTATCTATTCAAGTTTTGAAAATAATTCATTCTCAATTAACAATATATTTTACTAAAATGCGTGAAATTTTAAAGCTCTCTATTTATATTAACAAGTAATATTAGTAAAATAACAAGAGTCGTTTTAAAATTAATAATGCACCATTATGTTATAACATGAAAGTAGTCCAAAATCTTGAGTTACTAACTTACTATATATATATATATATATATATTGTTATACATAATTAAATGAATTTAGTAGCACAGTAACCACTAAACTTTTTAAGATCTTAAGGAGTCATAAGATCAAACTCTCCTGTCATTTTTACCAATTATCCTCTAATAAAAGTGTTATTGGCGCTGAGCTCAAGTAACTAACCATTGATGACCTTGTTGGCAACGACATCCTATGGATGGCATTGGTGATAATGGGGATGACTTTTTTTTTATTATTTTAAACTTTAAGCCCAATTCAATCATTTGACTTAAAAAACTAATTTCATTTAAGAACCAATGAATTGCAATGAAAATTCAAGATCTAATTATCCTTGAATGCTATAAATTTCTTACAGTGGTGCTTGATTGATATTTTTCCTTCATTTTACGTGTTGTAGACTCAGTTGGTTTTTAATTAATTAGATCAGACTCAAACCATAAAACAAAGAAAGGGATGGCGCCGAGTTCGAGGTTAAATCTAAACGTTTTTACGCTTATTTTAATTAAGTCCAACTCATAGTTAAGAAATTTCAAACGCATAATCAATTATAAGACCACAGATTAGTCTCATGTTGAAGAAGCAAGCAAGATGTATAGTTGACTTTGATTTTTTATCCAATTGTTTAGCCGACGAGCCTAAAAAATATTCTCCCAATCATTGGATTGGAAACTACTCTTTCTGACTATTTTGTTGTCTCATTACGGTATTGCGAGGCTTTTGGGCTACAGCCTACATGCGATTCAAGAACACTAAAAAAAAAAGGGGTGGATTTTTGTTTGGGCCTTGCAAAAAAAAAAGGGGTGGATGGAGATAGTGAAATTAAGTACATTTTTCCTATGCGACCGAGATATGTGGGCTCACATTTTTATTTATTTAAACTTTAATTATACATTTTCCATCTCATTTTGTTAACCCACCTATTCATAATTTATATTGATAAAATGTGTTTAAATTTTTTACTAAAATTATAAATAATTTTTAGAATTAAGGCTGAAAATTACCTATGAAGTATTTCTTCAAGAGCATATTAATCTTAAACTTGAGTATGATGTATCAATCTCCATGAACCCAAAAAAATGTATCGATCATCCTCAATCTATTAAGAAACATAAGCGTCTGTTAATTTAGTAAAATGAGCCAATATGTTGTCGAGATTAAAATAAGACTTTTACTTTTCTTTATCTTCATCCATTAATCGCAACACTTATCTTTCTCTACTCTAATTAATGTGAGGGGAAATTTGTGGTTAATATGGAGTATTTCATAGCCTAGCACAATGGTGACTTAGGTTAGAGGGTGAAAGTTGGTATAGAAGAGCTCTTTGATGATCTTGACAGGTTGTATAATGAGAGTGCCATGCTTAGAAGAGGCAGTGATGGTCGAAGGTTTTGATGATGAGTTTGATGCCATCCATGTTAATCTGAAGAAGCTGACAGATGTGTGAGTCATGAAATTGAACTAATTAAGAAATGGGAAAAAGGAAGTGTAGAATTGTGTGGCAAAATTTAGTATCATGGATCTTGTTCTTTGTTATGTATAGGAGTGGTTATTTCAGTAAGTACAAAATCCTTAGAGTCATAGGTACTCTAGTATGTCAATATGTCATGAGAAATTTTTTTTTTCAATTTTATTTTCTAATTACATATGATGTAACTGGGCAAAGTGATGGGATTTTATATAATAATTACAGCTTAAAACACAAGCATATGTAGTTTATTATCAACTTGAGGTTCCATGGCTTTAGAAACGTTCATAATGATCCCTATTTTACAAGCAAATACGCACAAAGTAATCATAACATGTTGAATATGTATTTATGGCTATATTTCAAAAGGTGACTAGAAGCCACACATGTTAAATTGTTAAATTAGATATAAGATTAGTCATAGGTTGTCATTGCCAAATACATTTACACCTATCGTGTCTTCAGTATGACCTATGTCTTTTATGTAATCAATTTTATCTACGTTTCTATGTCATCAAATCCATTTACGCCTTCTACGTCCTCACTTACATCTTGCTCACCCTCTCTCACATTCCCTTCACTTTCAACTCTCATGTCTGCATTATACTCCTTCCCTCTGTACTCTTTCATGTTACTTACAATATTGTCACTTCCGCCTTGCAAAGTGCAAACATCTCTTTGTACCTTCCCACGCATTTTTTTTTTGGCCAAATCAAGTAATTTGCTTTCCTTGTTTACTATCTCAACTCACTTCTCGTCTAATGTGTTGACGTCATTACCCTCTTTGTGGATAGCATTATCTTCTCCATTTAACGTCATTTACCTTTGTAATCAGACAATGCCAAGATAAATTGAGGGCTTCAATGACATTTCATCGTACCTACTATAAAAGAACAATTTTTAAGTCTCAATCGATACTTATTTGTAATTCCCTAATGTCATTTTCACAGTTTGTAAGTCTAATAGAATCTCTAGTCACATTCTCCCCACTTCCTCCCTATTCCATAATGGTTTCTTGTCTAATCCCCTCTTTCTTTCCCTTTCAACTTCAAATTCATGACGGTTTAAGGGTTTAATCCAGTTTCAACAAGAGATTTCTCACAACATTTCTCACGAAAGTGAAGTCTGAGGTGTGACAAAATGATTGTGTGCAGTGTGGAAAGAGAATAAGTTGCGGTCCAGATAATGGGCATGTGGAATGACAATTTATTATGTTTACTTAAAAAAAGACATTTAGGTGAAATTACTTTGTTTTTTAGGATTCAGGGGGATGTTGCACCATACTTAAATGTAAAATGCGAAATACTGTTACCGTGTCTTTGGATTGATGAAAATTTAGATTTAAACCAAATCTCTCATTTTAACGTACGAAAATTAAAATTTAATTTTTGTTTTAAATCCAAATTTATTGTAGATTACAATTTTTTTATAATTTCAAATTTAATCTGTACTTTAGTCATTTAAAATTCTACTCACTTTAAACATCTCATTTTTTTTTGTTTTCACTATTGATATATTTCTGACTCTTGTATTTTTTTATTTTTAGTTGATTAAAAAATAAAAATAAACTCATCATTTTTAATCTTTCATTTTTGTTTTGAATCTTAGTTCATTTATCTTTTACATTTGAAATTTTTTAAATTATCCAAACAAATAATTTTAAATATATAAATTTTAAATGTAAAATTTAAAATGCAAAATTTAAAATTTAAAATTTAAATTCAAATTTATCAATCCCAGAGCCACCTTAAAGAAATACGTTGCATGAATTTTTACTCAAACTTTCTTATTGGCAATGTTGTTTGTTGACACTATGACATTTGGAGATACTACATGACACAGGTGTGCTTTTATGATAAAAAAATACACACACACACTCTTGGGTCTCGTTTGATTATTAAAAATGAATGAAATAAAACATAATAAAAAAATCAATATAAAAATAAATTAAATTATCCTTCTTCCTCATAATAAGTATGATAAAGTTTATTAATATATATTATAAATGTATGAGTTATCACATCTTTCAAAAATCTTATAAATTATAATTCTCAATTCCATAAACTAAATTATCATTTTTCTTTATGAATGTAATTCAATATTCATTTTGTTCACATCATTTTCCCTTTATTTTTTAATTCATTTAATTTCATTCCTTTTTAATAACCAAATAGGACCTTAGAGAAATGTTTTGCAGGTATTTTTATCCCTTAATCTTAAATTTTAAAGTGTTGTTTCCCATATTGGTACGCATTTTTCTTCACACTACGGTAATTTTTTAATATAAAAAAATCCATTTGCTTATTGTCATTATAAAAGTGTATAATAAGACTTTAGTGGTAGCCAAAAAGAAATAATATAATCAAATTAATGTTAGACGTATTATGATAATTCGTTAAACTAAACTCGTCACGCAACTGTGATACAAAAAGAGGAATCTAAAACTTGTGCGGTAGATCTTCAGGAAAAAGATGGAAAATAAGAAGTGACTCAATGAAGCCCACTCTCTTTTTAATCTATCTCTTTCAATCCTTTCATGTGATAATATAGAAAATCTTGGTCACAAACTAATTGGTAAGGTATAATCTCTCACAAGGATCTCAGGCTTGAAAACCGTTCGGGGAGGGGGGAAATGGAATGGCAGAAGCGGCTGTGGCCCTACGGATACTAGCACCACCGACCTACACATGTACAATTCTGAAAAACAACATACAAATAAATAATCAAGGGAAGCTTCCTTGATCTCCAGATCGCCACAAGTGAATGCAAAATTATATTATTATCAATCTAAATCCTCTTTTTGAAAGGCTCTATGCTTGATAAATGAGAAATAAGATAAGTTGAAGTTACACATGGAAGCAGCAACAATATATTTTAAATTATAAGTGCTTCTCAAGTTGATTTTTTATAACTAAAAAGTTTCAACACCTGAGAATCTCCTACTTCTAAGCCCCATCTTCAAGCACTCTTCAAATTATTTATAGAGTCCTCCTCTCATGAATTTAGCTCTACAAACAGGCTTGCCTGAGGATGCAATCCTGCTTCCTCCAATGACACAGTAAGCTTTTCTTGTCCATAAACAACCCGAGGAAAATTGGATACGAGACTGTAATCGTCGACTTCTAAACAACCCAACGAATCAACATAGTCATATAATGACTGGATTGTCGTGTTGCTGTGGAACCTCCTTTCCTTGCGTTCACCATTTGGAAAGCGAATCAAAACCTAATTTTGATTTCCAAAAATATCAGTCAGTAAAATTGAAATAATAATGAAATTTGTGACCCCTAAAGAAAAGGGCTTCATAAATCAATTCAAAGTCAAATGCATTAAGGATACAAAATAGCAGTAAAACGATATATACTGTGCTGATCTCTAAACTACTTAGTCATAAACATAGTAGAACTGGCAAACGGAAAAATTAAAATACTAGCTCAACTTTGATAAACATTACCCGTGTAACATTAAGTCCTTTCTCAGGCTCTTCACCAAGCGACAGGGCTTTTTCCTGACGTATTTGAGCTAACGCAGCCTGCTTCTCCGCAGCTTCCCGAGCTGCCCTTTCTTGAGCCTCCTCTTCCTCCTTGCGCAGCCTCTCAGCTTCTGCAGCTTCCCTTTCAAGGCGTTCTTGTTCTTCTCTCCTTTGCCTTTCCCTGGCCTGTAGATACATATTATGAACATTAAACTACCGCCACAACAATTGCCAATCTTCCCAAAGTAAAACATAAGATCCAACTCGACAAGCAGCATACTTGATCAGCTTCAAGTGCAGCTCTATAAGCAGCATCTTGCTCCTCCCTTAAGCGAATATTGTTTTGTCTTTCTTCTGCCTCAAGTCTTCCTGCGATAAGAACCGGGGCACTTTCTTCTAGCACCCTCTGTAGTATCGTAAGCATCTCCTCAGGAGATTTTGGGCCTTCAACCTGGATAATATAGAAAAGATTGAATGGCCATAAATTGTTTTGATAATAAAAAAAATATGCTTTATTAACTATAATAAAATTGACACATGATTTTTAAACTCCAAGAGCCCAGACATATTTGATGTGCCTATCGACACAAGGACAAATTAAACAACTTAGAGAACCAAAAAGCAGAAAAACTATCATGAAGTCCAAGCCCAGCTGACAAACAGCTAAACACATGCAACCTATGAGACCCTGATACTTAAAATTGGAGCCATAAAATATACAATATGCGTCCAAAATTTGATTAAGATATGACACCACATATTTTCATGTTGCAGGAGTGGTGATGTCAGGAGAGGGTCAGATGCTGAGACAAGCAAGAAAAATGCCATACCAATGCTTCACCAACTAATTAGAAACTCGACCTTTCTTTCTAACTCAAAAGTCACCATTGTCGGCTAGAAATTTCTCACTTATCATATATCAATAACAAAGAATTGTTATCTTTGTCAATATTTTCATTACGAAACTGGAATTTCTTGAAACCTTCACAATTTTCCATCACAATACAGCTTAACTTTCTCAGAGAACACTACCAACTCAATCCCACACAAATTTTCACACAGCTTTGATATCCCAACTGCTGCTTATGATTGAAGCCTATCCAAATGATTTTAGAGGGAACACATACATGACTAGCAAAGTAACCAAACAGAGTTAATAGCTGCTGGTGACAAAGTTCATAAAATTTCAGTGACAATGAGTCTTGGTGTTAAAAATTGTCCAGTTTTAATTTCTTGTTCATTTTTCATAAAAGGCACACTTCAGGACCAGTTAGATCTTGTTTAGCTTCCTATACATCATAGATATCATATCCATTTAGGTCTGGTTAAGATTATCTTGCTAGGCTTCATACTTACAAATTTACCACAGTAATCCTCAACTAAAATATTGACATAAGAAAAATATGAGGCCACTTTTAAAGATGAGTCGGTCAAACACTGATGTCCAGCACAAATATTACTCATTGCAAGACCTTTTCCCCCCTAAAAATAGCTGGCCTCATTTCTCTGAATGACAGGTTTACACCATAGAAAAGCATTCAACAACCAAACTTTCTAATGCATTTAATGGCCATCTACAATTAGCAAAAAAAAAAAAAACAAAAAATTCTTACTATACTGTAAATGAATAGATACTTGACCAAAATTTTTTCTCTCAAGGTGATTGATATGACATACTGCTATAGCAACACAATACTAAGAAAAATATAATAAGACGCTCTGCTCTATTAGCTTTGCCACATAAACAACTCAATATGATATGTTCACGGGTAAGTTACCAGTTAAAATAAGAAAGAGAGGATAAATCTTATTTTCACAGCCTAGGAACTTTAATCATATCAATATATTGAAAAGTCAGACATGTGCTTGCTAAAAAAGAATCATAGGCTCAACTTCATATGTATTGGCCAAGTAAACTCCAATTTGCCAGAGGAAGTCTTTGTATAGAAAGTGAATCAGACTTTGATTGTATTTCGCTTGGCAAAGGATAAAAATGAAAACCGAGAAACCCCATAATTTAGCATCTTTTAGCAAAACAATCTTTCTCCCCTCCTTTTACCAATTACCATACTAAAGATAAAGGAGGACAATATATGCTTTTCTCCTAACTGAAAGTACAGCACACTGCCGCCACCAAGAAGCTGGAGAAGAGAGCAAGGAGGAGGATTCCCCTCTTTTTTCTCTCGATCTCACTATTCTTATTTTCTGATACTCATATCATCTCAATAGCAGAATCATTACTAAGTAACGCATAAGAACACACGATAGGTCATGTTATTATGTTCGTGGCTTTGTCCTAAAGAGGGATAAACAAATTTAAATTTCATCCATGCTACTAGGACTCCAAAAAAACAAAAAACAAAAAAAGATAATACCTGTTGAAGCAGTGCAATCCTCTGATTTGTTGCCGCCATAACTACAGCACAGAATGGAAACCGAGAAGCCTTCAAGCTGTTACTCATCTTAAACCCTTCACTATTCCGAATACTACCTCCCCATGACACGAAATTTTCATTCACAAACGCCACGAATGCCTCCGAGCAGAGAGTCCTCTCACAGAATAAAGCCGTATCAGGATGTTCTGGAGAATGCAAGTAAACAAACAGAAGTTTAAAGGCATTCCTTGACCTTTGCAGGGCGTCCATAAAGCCCTCGCTCACAAAATTGGGATGAGTGATGCCGTAGTCCCTCTCAAACCCTGCCACAAAATCCATAGCCTCCGATGCCGCTGCCGAAACGGGAATCAAACGCGCCGAGGACTGATCGTTCCTACGGGAACCGGGACCCAACCCTATCATGCCAAGAGAATAGGAAAGCACACCACCGGCAGCCCAGAAGCCGAGACCGATCGCGCCAGAAATCAAACCTAGACTACCCGAAATTACAGAAACCGGTAATTTAATAAGCTTCCAGGCCAAGCCAGGAGGAGAAGGTTCTGATTGTGGCATGGAGTGAACAGAATCAGCCCGACCGACAGAGGATGAGGCATCAATGTCGCCGTCGGCGGCGGCGGCGACGGCGGCGGAAGTATCAGGGCGTGGGGTGGTGGAATTACCGGAGGTGAAGGAGGAGATCGCAAGCTCGAGGTCCCAGCCATGGGCAGCGAGAATCTCAGTGCATAAGTCGGGATCTTCTAGACCTGTGATCGCTTGGAAATACACCACTTTATCGGCTGCATCAACCATATCGTTTGGTATGAGAATGAATCCAAGATCACTTAAGGAATCAAGAACAGGTGCGAATTTGAGAGAGCAAATTCCAAGATGAATCAAGTCCAGTCCCGATTCCAATTTCTGGGGTTTGCCTTTCCCTACCACCGCAGGAATATAGTTTCTTTTATTTTAACGACTGGGTTTTACTCTGCTTGAGTATTGTTGGGACCTACATATTGGCACACCGCATAACCGTCGTCTCCTCTACTTACATTTGTTATTACTGCAATTCAAATTTTTCGTCTGAATATATATTTTATATTTTACACAAACACACATAGATATTGATTTTACTTTACTTCCGTTTGAATTGGGAAATCCTTTTGAATGTAAATTGTGTTATATGAAAATAATTCCTTAAGCTTTTTAAATCATGTAAAAATAAACATTTTATCGTATTATCCTTCACATGTCAAATGATAACAAATAAACTAATGGCATGAAAATTAACTGCAGAATATTAAAATTTGTAAAAATTCATTATCAAGTTTTAAAGTTTAGAACATACAAGTCAAAGTTCAATAGGACTACATACAATTCAGCCTCAATGTGTATATATATTATATAGTTATTGTGTAAAAAGGACTTGAGAAATGTATAAAAATAAAAAACAAAAGAAAAATAGAAAAAGGACCTGGAAAACCTTTGTTGGGCCCCAAAAAAAAAAAAGTATGCTCAGGTTTCTGGAAAGCAAACATTCCAATTAAACTTCAGCAATTGGATTTTTCTCTATTATTCAAATTACATTGATGATGTGTTTTTCTACTCTTAAGAGGCAGCCAAGCTAAGCAAGAGCAAGCTGCTTGAAGGGAACAATGTGGTTTGTACTAATTGTACAGGCAAAGAGCTAAGCAGAAGAAGCTGCCTAATGTCCATATATACAAAATCAATATCAGCTTGGCTGGTGGAGGCTCTAGAATTGGAACGAGCTTATAAATCTATCATTTATATCAAGTAAATGGCTCCTAAAAGCACCTATCACAGCAGGTAATTTGAAGCACTAGTTGAATTCAATGCTCAAGGTGATTGCTTCAGAAGATGTTCTTAATCACGTCATGGCCATAGCAGGAAGTGCCATCTCTGTTTTCTGATAACTATCTGTTCCAGATTGCGGTAGAAGTTGAACCAGATACCAAAATACATCTATCCTTGTTACATTTCTGCTAGCCTGTTCAACAATTTCAACCAACGTTTTAGATAAGCACATACATACATACATACATACAAACATGATACAACTCACATGCTTTATATTGCATGGAAATATCCAACTTAATTTACCTCAACAATGAAGCGTCCCCATAACTTGTTCTCCCTAATTTCCATCTTTCCTTTCAGAATATTCAGTCCAAATCCGCGGATTATTTCGGCTATCTCAAGGAACAAGCCTTGCTCCTCACAAAGCATCTGCATAACAGACAATGCATCTTAGGTTTATTTGAAGGAAGGCAAACAATGTGTAAAGAGTAGCATCTATTCTCATTTATTTGTTCTTACCTCTATGAGCATTTGGCCTGGTTGGCTCATGTCCTCCACTATAATGGGGCATGCCATTGTTTGGCCTGCAACTTCAAATGCCCATGTAACCCCACCACCATCCTTGGTATCTGATTCTTCCACACTTTTGTTCTTCACAACCATACTGTTTCCCTCCTCAATGAGCTGTAAATCCAAGTGTATCGAGTTATTAATGAAGAATTTGTTTCGCTGTTTCCACTCAAACAAAAATGGACTTAATTAATTACCTTAGGACTTTTAGGTTCTTGCAGTTTTCCTGCATATTTTGTGACGCTTTGTAAGAAAAGCATGTATTTGATGGTGCGATCCAACAAAGAGTCAATGCTACACTGTTACACCAGGATAACATGTGTTAGCATGTCAACTCACTCATTTGACTTAATATGACAATTCTGGAGTTGATATTATATATATGCATGCAAAAAATCACAAATGAAGAATGGGGAAATGTTGGAATGAGAAAATTTCATCAAAAAGCATGTTAATACATGGTGAGTGATACCACATTTACCTTTCCACCACTGGGGATGATCCCTCTCAACTCTTTAATACGGTCTTGGATCTGCTGACGATCTTTTGGTCGCGGTCGGGTACTCTCACCAGGCCTAGCCCTCTTCTTGGAGGCCTTTGTGGATTCCTCTGGCTTTTGAGGAACAACCTTCGCACCATTGAAGCAAGGACCATGGTCCAACCATGACCCTACCAGTGATTTAGGAAATGTCTCTTTCTTGCATACAAGATTGTTTGTCTTGTCCAAGTTGGAAACAGGATTAGTGTTCCCAGATGAATCTGTCCTTCGCCTTTTAGTTGTAGATATTTGATCCTCGAAACTGGATCCACCATTCAGAAGCTCTTCAATGCCAAGCTCTGCAAATAATCCCTTCTTGGTGGCATTAGGTGTAACAATATTCAACCCTGATCTGCATTCAGATGAAGCAGTAATGGTAGCAGATTTCATCACTGGTGCAATCATATTCCCCCAGCACTCACCAACAAAATCAAGTGCACTGCTGCTTTCAAAAGTATGCATAAGGGTAGATGTTGGGTGTCCATCTGAAATACTTTTGGCTGGATCACCATTAAAGGCAACACAAGTGGGATTATTGAATTCTAAGGACTTAGAAAGAGAATTTTCCAATGCAGTATTTGTTGCACAGGTGCTATGTTCTGGAGAAGATGCAAACCTCTGACAAATGTCATCCACGGAGCACAAGTCAGACAAGTCCTCTGTTGACATCTTCGACAGTCCATGCAGTGATTGAGCAAAAGCGTTGTATTCAAGTGGATTCCATAATTTGTCTTGAAATGATCCTCCTGATCCAAGCATGCTTCGGTTCACGCTGTACAAAGAGGTCAATGCTGAATCCTGGACAGAAATATCCCAAGCCATTGATGAAGCCAAAGAAGCTTCACTGCTCTGTGGGCCAAAACAGGGGTTTTTCACACAGGATTTAGGATTCAAAAGCACTTCAAAACTATCCTTCTCTGACAATACCATTTGAGCTTCTGCTCCTGTTGTCAATTGATCGCTAAGACAAGAAGATTCCCCATGCAAGCTGGTCATTCCATTTTCTTGATTCTTGTAAGTGGAAAGGAGAGAATTATCCATGCTTGAGGAAAAATAGCAATCTCTAATCTGCTCATTGATGTTATTGTGATCTTCATGGTTGAGATTCCAAGAGCACAAGTTTTCAGAGGTCAACAACCCATTCAGGTCATAATTTTCAAAATCCCAAGGTAAAACCATTTTTTCTGGCTCATCAACTGTATCCAAATAGTCATTCTCCATGAGCAGTCTTTGTGTTTGCTCAAAAATTTCCTCTCTTTCCAAGATCTGCAACACCCATTAAGATATAACTATTGTTAACCATATAAAAGCCATGTTGCTTCCCTTAAGAGATAGCTATCACTTCAATGTAATCGCTTGGTGTAAAATCTGTTAAAACTTCATGTGCTTTCACAGTACTAACCTTCTCTGTGGATCCAAATTGTACTACTCCTAATGGTTTAACAGATATCACTGCTATTGTCTGCAAATCAGAATAAACGAATCAATATACATGGTTTTGGTTCATGGCTTGGAAGAAGAAGAAAGTTAGACATGCGTTATCCACTTGTCCATCTCATCTTCCTTTTCAACTTTTATATAATATAGTTTCTTGTTATATAGTACCTTTATCCCATGGGAGAATTGTTGACGCAGTTCAGAATCAAGCTGCAGAAATAAAAGATGTTATCAAGTACTTGGAGAAAAACAAAAGAGCATTTGATAAGGAGTATCAATGAGACCAACATTAGGGATAGAAGAACATTTAGATACCTCACAATGATCTAGACCCCAAAAGACACCTGTTAAATTCCATTCTTGGGATTGAGCATCTGAGAAAATCCAACTGGGCTTGCCAGTAAAAGCAACATGACCAACAATTCTAGATAACAAAGAAAAACAGCGACCGTGTCAGCCTCTCTTTACATACAAGCCATGCATTTTAAACTTATCAACTCGTGAACTCTATATTCAGTGAAGCCACACTTAAGTTTCTCGGAAGTGTTTCAACTGAAATAGAAGGAAACAAATAATTTATTTCCCGTACCCTTCGCCCAGGAACTGAAGCTGTGGAAGAGTCTTAATAATCTCTTGTCCTAATAGCCCTTCGTAGTAAGCATCTTCCACAGACAGGAACCTGAAAGCATTTCAAAGTTCAAACACCAAATCAGTGGTAAGAATGAAATTTCTGGAGCATTTTCACGCTGAGTTCTGAAACTGACATCTTTTCATGTAAAATTGAAAAAGAATGGAAGGGTTGAAGAACAAGAGAGCTTACAAGGAATTAGGAGGATGAGAGCGCCAGAAAATGGCGTAAGACCAACCGTGAGCAGAACAAAGGCATTTGAGACTATTCCAAAGCGAGGAACCCATCTGAGTCTCACCCATTTCACTAATACTTCTTGTTATCCGTCGCACCTTGAATTCATACTCAAATCAAACGCAGATACTTATTTTGTTCACTCTTCAAAGCAATGAGCTAACACCCAAATCACCACTGATTACTCACTCTGTGCTTTTTGAAACCAGACGCAAGGAATGTGAAGTGAAGGTCTCGTAATAGTTAAGAGAAGAAAACCTGTTTGCAGGTTCTGCTACAAGAAAAAGGGGTGCGAATGGGGGTGAGGTAGGATCTTAAGATTTATATATATACACATATGAAAAGATATTCGGGTTTGGGTTTGGGTTTGGCTTGTTTCACTCACAAATGAGTCAAATGATCGAATATCAACCCTGTATGTATGTGTAACTACGTATTAGTTTAGTTGTCTTCAAAGAACGAAAAACAAAACTCGGGGGGGGGGGGGGGGGGGGAAGATAAGAGCATGAAAATGAATCTGATTCTCTAGCAACCTTCAAAAAGTCCAACAACAAATCTTGCGCATTTAATGTGTAAATATATTTGTCTTCATTACATCCTACTGATGGTCCCACCATAATCATTGGCTATCTTTCGTTATTTTAGTGCCCCATTATTCCGCTTGATCTCTAATCACCGAATAATTCATTCTCCATTACTCCAAATATCCTCTCATTCATTCCAAAATGAAAAGCAACGTTTTTTATTACCCCTTATTATTAGTTCTCTCGCTTCCTTGAAATTCAATTCATTTCAAATCGAAGCTAAACTTCAGACTTTATAATGAGGCTTGCAATAAGCTCTTAATGCTAGCATATCGTGATCATGAGCATCAAATTATGCAAAATACTTGTTTAATTTTATTTAATCATCATCAAACTTCAAATTATTCGGTGCCCTAATAACAGTATGAATAAAAAAAATAGATGGACAAGGACGTGGCCATCATAGTAAATTATAGCGAGCAATGAGCATTTACTGTAAAATTAAAAACCTTGCATGAAGAAATTGCATTTCTTAATACTCTCGAATATTATACGCGTCCTCATTCTTGCATGCCCGTATCTACAAAAACATTAATGACAATGATTTATCAGCATTAAAAATTCGAATGCGTTAGAAACCTGAAATTAAACGAAAATCCCAGCTATAGAAATTCATCCCAAAAAAATTGTATTCACCAAAAGTAACCGGAAAAAAGGGAACAAAAGAACAATAAAGAAAAAGAAAATGAAGAGCAGAGAAATGGGAGTTCACTTTATGAATGATTCAGCAAAAGACGTAAGAGGCATGGTATGGTATGATGAAGAGATGTGAACAGTAGTTGCTCATTATGTCTTTGAAATTCAATCGGTGATCATAATGCATATTGAGCTCAGCAATTTTGTTCACATAGTATTATTTCAGTGCAAAACGAAGGTGTGAGCCATATTATCCAACGCTGCATTTTTATAAGAATGTAGCTCCTAGAAAGTTCTTAGAATTGAGGTCTATCTCAACCAAATCAACCTTTCTACAACTTAATTTAATTTGATTTGATGTGATTAGATTTTTTTATTCGTTCATGTCTGTATCGAAAAATCTAAATGTTATTATTACTTTTCTATTCAAAAGTATATTTTTTGATAACATAAGAAGTATTTTTTATTAATAGTAAAAACTAATCTCCATCAAGATTTAAAGAGCGAAAGAGAGACTCTTTTTATTTAAATTTGCTCTATTTATAACAAATAAAAATCAAGCAAGTTAAAAAAAAAAATTAAGTTCATGGCACACACGTCAACTTAATTTGGGGATCAATCCATAGGATATTTTAATTTGGTGGAGGGAAAGGGCAAAGTGTGAGTACTTGCTAGTTAAAGAATCTTTTGAGTTGGTGGTAGCTACAACCTTGTTCTCAATTGCTGTGTTGTGGGATATTGCACATTCCAAAAGGGAAAGCATGACATCATCCTACATTGTGGAATCATGACGGCCATTACTAATGCTACTCCTTAATAGCCCAAGCAGCATGGATGACTTGTTTTGTGCTGACTGTATAGTGCATGTATGATTGGCATTTATATGTGTGGGAACATATTGATGCTATGTTAGTGTGTTAGTCGGCAATGTTGTTGGGTGGGTGGGTTTGTCAGAACCCCTCCCCCCACCAAAAAACCAAAAATTAAAGCGATTGCAAGCAAGCCCCAAAACCAAAAGCTGCCCCTTTATTCTCTCAAATATTTTCCCCTTCCCTTTTTTGCCCCCCAATCCTTTATAATTTTGTCTCCTCCTTCATTATTCGCCTTCAATGCCAAGTCAACGCCATTATCACTTTTTTCATATTAACCTTAGCTTTCTTTAAGACAAACTACTCTACGAAAAATCATACAAAATTTAGTTCTGTTGATCATGAATTTAAAACTCATTATCTCTATCAACTAAGATTACATAAAAGATTGGACGATACTAGATTTTAACTTAACTTAAAATCCGGTCTCTTTTATGAGAAGGACTTGGTTAGGTAAGTCGTAATCTAATCTTATCTAGTGATAACCTAAAGATTAATAGGATCGGACTTAATCTATAAGATTGAGAGACTGGTCCTATTAATCCAATACTTACCTAACTTTTTTTCCTTTTTCTTCTGTAAGAGATAATAATCCATTTCAACTTAATAAACTTAATTAAGATAATACAAACACATATAATAATAATAGATCCATAATAATTTTCAACAATAAAAAAAAATATTTTTGTTATAGTCCAAATGATTTAAAATTATAATTTTAACAAAAACAATATTCAGCAAACTTCAACAACATTACATTACAACAATAATTTAGAAATAAACTCAACAAATTTTCATACAATTATCTCCTTAACATCAATTACACTTGAAGCATTTGTCAACAAAAAATTAATTTTAATTATATTAAATAAATTAATAGGACCAAACTAGACCAAGTGATCTAGATGCCCAATCTCTTGTCCAATCTAATTCGAAAAAATAGTCTAATCTTTTCAATCTTTTTAGTCCTGAAAGATCGGTGTTTATACGAACCAAACAAGACTGGACCATCTCAGATCGGACTGGGTCATATAAGACTGGAGGATTTTTGCACCGCCCTACTATCAACATATAAAAGCACTCTCAACCAAAGAAATCCTCTAATCTCTTATAAGTGTTAATCAAGAAATGTTCCTTCAAGGTTTAAGGCTTTAACCGAGTCATGTGTCACACTCCCTTCCTTTAGTATCATAAGGTACTTTTTTTTTTTTGAAATATCATGTTTAAAAATGTAAAACATTTTTGATATTTTATAGCTTATTGGTTCAATTCCATGTATCCTGATGCATTTTGCTGGTTCATGGTGCTTGGTTGGTCTTAGTGATGTGAAAGAGATTACATAATGTAATCTTGATTCTCCTAAAAAGCTATATCTAAATTATATAGGTAAACCTTATGAATAGGAATTATAGGATTAAGAAACGACAACATTACCCTTAAAAAAATCCCAAGCAACCCACCCTCCCATCTCCACACCCACCTTCCTTCTACAGCAATATCATTGGTTTTCTAGCCTCTTCAACAATGTCATTAGCCTTCATTTTGTTCTTCAACAACGTCACAGAAAAATCATGGGTTGTGAGATTGATGAAACATTATGTGAAGATCCCCTATACAGTGGGTGTCATTGAGTCCATCATTGTTTATGCTAGTGCTCCTAGCTTCATCCACAATGAGTACCATTGAGCTTCGTCATTATGGGTGTCACAAATCTGGTGAGTTTTAACTTTATCATCATGCATATCTTTTCAAATCTAGTGAGTGATATTATTTAAAGGATCAACATGGAAGTGAAGGTGATTGTTGAATCTTGATGAAGTGAAAAAAATGTTCTTAATTAGGAGTGTAATTAATAAATTTTTTTTATTAAGCCAGCCTATTAAATAGTTGTAATATGAAAAACATTATAATTTTAAACGCATTAACTAATTTGTTAGAGAGTGTAAATTAATTAAAAGTGGTTTATGATTATGAGGTGAGATATGTATTTGATGACATGTTGAATTCTTATGAGCATGGCAAAAAAGTTTTTCTTAGTAGTTTAATAATGATGATTTGGTTTCGTTTTGGAATTTAAAAGAGGTGTGTGGCTTGGCTTAGATAGGTGACGTGGAATCCAAGAGAAGGACCTACAAATGATGGAATGAAGACAACTGTTAAGATTTGGTAAGGGCTTTTCAAATTGAAATGCGCTTATTCGATCGGCCAAATTAAAGCTGTATGACTTTTTTAAAAAAAATGTGGAAATTAAAACATGCTTTGCCTTAAGAGAGCAAAGCATTGGGTCCTATTAATGTGGAATAGGACAGAAACTATTATGGTCACTAATTATGTTATTCTCTCTTTTCCCATACGGTGCCACATGCACGCCATTGCCCTTTCATTCTCTCCAAGTGTCACAAGATCATTGGTTCATGTAAAATTCTATAATAATTCTTTTTATATTGTGAGAATAAATGTCACAACCCTCCAGTTATGTTTGTCTACTTTTATATAATTATAATTATTTAAGGATCAGAAGCTGATATCAATGGAGTTAATTTCACTCATATATATTTAATTCTATTAACTCCTTTGCTGACGTAAAAAAATATTTTGATATGGTAATAAATTGAGGTTTGACATTACCAAAAAAAAATTGAGGTTTGATATAAAATGTTTGGGAAAAAAAAATCTCTTATATTTAGCTTAAATAAAATGTGAAAAGCGAGGATGAGACAAAGGTGACCGCAACTAAAATAGAGAATATATTCGTTCAAAAGTCTGAGTTTTTCGAAGGCCAAGTAGAGCAGAGTTATCAGAAGTCTGAATCATAAGTGATTAGCCATTATTGAGAGTTCTTAGCTTGTGTCAATGGAATTAACTTCATCAATGGTTGCTCATAATTTTTTTGCATACTTTTAAAATTATAAGGATTAACATTGCAGAAATATTAAATTAAAGGGATTGAGAATCACCAAAAAAAAAAAAAAGATACTAAAACAAACTACAATGGAAGAATAGAGATCTTTTGTTGTATTTTGCCACAAAAATTTGTTATCAAACATTTTGAACAAATTATTTGATATTCATCAACCGTGAACATTTTGCACACAAAGAATATAATGCTCGCAACATATCAAAAAACGATGTATTCGAATTCTGTCGTTGTCTAAATTGCTTTTTACACTTCCTCTTCCTCATATCGCCGAGTTCCTTTCAAGTTTTGATCATATACATCTACTCCTTTTATTAAAAAAATAAAAAACATTTTTAATCAGATTACATCCTTCAATAAAATAATTT